TTGTCCATACAAAATATCTATCAAACAAATAAAATTAAAATTTTCTTTTGAAAAATGAAACCATTCCATCAGTATTTTCTTATGACGTTGTCACGTTCAACTGTCGTCAGTAAGCCGACTTTACAGACAACCGATTTTTTTATTCTACTTTCTCTTTCTCACTTCATTTAACCTCAAAATCACTAGGAAGTTAGATCACGATATACAATATTACATTGGAATTTCAGACATCGTACTGCAGAGCTAATATAAACCTGATAAAATAATGGTTCACACTTAAATTCTCGATGCACGTGTATTTTACGTTCTTCTAACTCGTTCGAACGCTGTTTTTATGGCCCGCTGCGACATAGCAGTAAATTTAAGTGGCCACCCTCGGCTCGTTTAAGCCTGACAACGCGTTATTTCGTTTTATTAAGTTCCCTGCCAGTCATCGAGCTTATTAACACTATGTTAATGAAAAGTTTTTGGGTTTACTACGAAGAAGGTAACCTTTTTAATACGCTATTATTAGCTTCAGACTTATGTACAACCTCAAAACGTCGGATTAACTTGAAGTTTGGTATACTTATTAAGGACTGATGACAAATAAATACTAAAAAAAATAAAAAAAAATTGGAATTCAACTAACAAATGAAAAATAAATAATAGTTTAAAAAAACGAACAAAATACACTTTTATAGAAAATCCAACTAAAAAATAGAAAATAAATTTTAATAAATTTGAATTAAAAATAGTGTAAGAAAAAATTATTTTATTGTAAAAAAACGTGGGGTGGTTTTCAGGATATTAACAAAATTACCCTTTTACTCATATCTGTTCATAAAATATTTATAACTACTGATACCATGTACATATTATAATTTTTTTTTTTTTTAAATCTTTAATTGTCATCGGTCCTTAATAAGTATACCAAATTTGGAGTTAATCCGACGTTTTGAAGGGGGTCAAAATCATATTCAAAGTTTCCGTTACAAACATACATACTTCTGAAGCTAATAAGACGAGAGATTACCGACACCTGATGCCAAGTGTTCACTGGTATTCAGATGTGGCTGAAGTCTTACCTGCTTACATTGTAATGCATAACAGCTAACTTTCTCATCATACAGGAACATTTGTTTCGCTGTGTATATAGGGAAGACGGTGGTACCAGCTAACTTAAGTTCACAACAAGCTCTGCCCCCAGTAATATCTACAAGAATATATCAACGTAGCCTAAAAGCTAAAAGGCTACATATTTCATATGGCGAGCTAAACGAAAAACTAAAATTATCGTTATTTCCTGGTCAAGGCATTGGGTTAAATTGTTATATTCTTGTCAATAATACACAGTGCGTTTCCAGAGATCTTTTTTGCCACGTACCATCCGGCTTTGGAATGAGTTCCCCTCCACGGTGTATCCCGAGCGCTACGACATTTCCTTCTTCAAACGAGGTTGTGGAGAGTACTTAACGGTAGGCAGCGGCTTGGCTCTGCCCCTAGCATTGCTGAAGTCCATGGGCGTTGGTAACCACTCACCATCAGGTAGCTGTATGCTCGTTTGCCTACAAGGGCAATAATTAAAAAAAAAACGTGTGCAAATTTTCGAGTTTATCGCCATTTTGTAGTTAGCGATAATGACTTTGAAATATTCCGGTTTGACAGCAACAGATCAAACTACTCTTGATATAATCGTGTTATTAATATAATACGATGAAAATTTTTCTGTGTGCTATTTATGGGGAAGTAATAACAATGTCCGGAAGTAACCGGGGGCGCATTCCGGATATCTTCTGATTAATAGTCGATTATATTAGATTAGTAAGATCTTCTGATACATCAATAATTATATTAAAAACTCGGTACGACAACTGGTTTGCAAATGACCTGATAGATGTTGCAAACGTATTGGATACAAACTCTAGATTCCTCTTTGGTGACACCTTGTCACGTTTACTAAAGCTAAAGAAACACATTTACTCTTAAGCGATGGTGCTATCTATAGTAATTTAATAGGTATTTCGGTAAAATAAGATTATTTCTAGTAAACTCATAATCAATCTACATACAAATCTCTCAGTGGTCCCTGCCCTAAACGTATTATCGTATCTAGCACCGTGCATCTAGTTTTGTAATATAATTTCCTACCATTTGCTTTTGTGACGTACAGTTCGGATTCCCAAAAACATAGTATCATCATAGGAACAAAGAAAAAATTACTGGAAGGAACATTAGAATTTGATCAATCAGATAGACCAGGGGTTCCCAAACATATTTAGTATACTGCCCAAAAATTAAATAAATTATTTTTTAGCGCACCTATTTTTTCACCTTTTTTTTTATTGCTTAGATGGGTGGACGAGCTCACAGCCCACCTGGTGTTAAGTGGTTACTGGAGCCCATAGACATCTACAACGTAAATGCGCCACCCACCTCGAGATATAAGTTCTAAGTCCTCAATATAGATACAACGGCTACCCCACCCTTCGAACCGAAACGCATTACTGCTTCACGGCGGAAATAGGCGGGGTGGTGGTACCTACCCGTGCGGACTCCCAAGAGGTCCTACCACCAGTGATTACGCAAATTATAATTTTGCGGGTTTAGTTTTTATTACACGATGTTATTCCTTCACCGTGGAAGTCAATCGTGAACATTTGCTGAGTACGTATTTCATTAGAAAAATTGGTACCCGCCTGCGGGATTCGAACACCGGTGCATCGCTACATACGAATGCACCGGACGTCTTATCCTTTAGGCCATGATGACTTCAGACACCTGTAACCTACTTACAAATCACTATAGCGAGAGCTCAATCGATGTCTAAGAGTCCTCCTAGATGAAATTACATATCGCCACTCAAGGCTCTACACATCGTCCCCATTTTTTTCTGGGTCTCTTACCGCCCCCCTTTAGGCTTGTATAGCCCACAAGGGGGCATTATCGCCCACTTTGGGAAAGGCTGAGATAGACCGAACAAATAATATCTTGATACATAAGGTTATCTATAAGGCATTAAAATTCGATCGATCATATTTTCTAACATCAAGAAATCCGTCTGCTCCAAATTATGTTAAGTTACAAGTTAGTTCACATCGTCTTCGCAATAATCACTTAAGTTACGAGCGCAGGAGCGGACTCCGAAGTAACAATTAACGTCAGTAAGCAAAAGCGACGAATGTCGGAATTTCAATAAATTTTAGATCGCGTACAAAGAGCTATAAATTCTTGGAATAGCTTCCGGATTTTTACGCGGTAAAGAGATTACTTTTCTGTTCAAAATACTACCCGCAAGAACCATGATGAGGCCCATCTACTGACTTCAGATATAAAAATAAATGATGAAAGGTATTCTCCCTGCCAATTTTGGTGCGATGCAGTTTTCATTTCTAGTTTGAAGGATCGTTGTATATGGAGAATGAAACTTGTATCTTATATTTCAAACTGGATAGCGGTATTGAAGCTTGTGATGCTTAAGGGCTCAGGTAAAAAATTAAAATCAAACTACTTAATTAACTTGGTTAATTATACAAATTCCAATAACAAAAAAAAGTAAACCACTTAGACAGGAACCTCGTTCGGAATTTATTAAATTGATTTAATGAAGTTTAAAACTCCTGAAACGACCACCGAAACATCTGTTATGGCAATTTTCATTCTCTTTAGTTTCGTATCCATCCCAAGCGGGGAAATACTAGCTAATTAATGCCTTAAGGAAACTACGCTTATTCCGCAATTTAGATAATTGTTTACGTCATTCTCTAGTTAATTGTGTTACGTCTTCTGTCTGTTAAATCTGTAAAGCACTTTCATTGTGTACGTCTCTGTGAATTTCTTGACTTTTTGTTTTTGATTGGTTATATTATAAAATTTAAAAGATACTTTCTTCGTTATGAGTTATTGAGGAGGAAATGCGGGTTGATTTTAATTTTTTATTTCCTTTCTAGAACGAAATAAAAAGTATAGTTTTTGAGGAAGATATTATAAAAATATTATATTGTTATATCTCAAAAATGTTATACGTAGGCGTTGTCAACAGCTGTTTTGGTTTTTAACCAATTTAACGAGGTTTTGTTGAAGCAGAGAGCAATAAATTTATAAAATATAATATGTACATCTAAATTATTTCGGTTTGAAATGTGGGGTAGCCGTTGTAACTATACTTGAGACCTTAGAACTTGTATGTCAAGGTGGGTGGCGCATTTACGTTATGGATGTCTATGGGCTCCAGTAACCACTTAACACCAGGTGGGCTGTGAGCTCGTCCACCAATCTAAGCAATAAAAAAAGCTTTCTCGGTAATTTCGTTAATACTAAAAAATAAGTCTTGATGATATTACGGAATATTATTATCTTTTATACATTTAGATCACTGGAATTACATGTTGTATTAATTAGTCATCTATAAGAATTTTAATGGAAACTTCTGGGGTCTCTCATATGCGAAACCTTTGTTTGATATTATACGACGGAGACTTTAATATTCCTATTTTTTCCCAATGATCGAAATTCGTTCGTAACCACTTACATCTGAAGATTTAAATTCATTTTTAACCCACTTCAAGTAAGATCGAGATTGTCAATTCGGCTGTTTAGTTTTATGTGTATTACTACTATAAAACTTTTTTTCTATGTTAACCGATTTTGTTTTTTTTTTGTTTTTTTTTTTAAAGCCCCTAGTACTTTGTTTAAGTTTTATCAAGATCTGACCAGTAGTTTATGAATTATCATCCTTAATACTGCATATTAGATTATTGACTTTGGCTACATTGATAATATTCTGATTTTATTTTGTTGAAGTCGGTTTGCTTATTGTTCTGTTTGTTGAGTTGTTGGTGAATATACAAATACATCGTAATCGATAGATTTTTACAGTTGTTTGAGGAAAATATGAAGCCCTACACATAAAATAATCGAGACAGTCGTGTGGAATCTTAGGGGTCATTAAACCTCAACAAAGGACTTAGAGTAATACGTTTGTTTATTTTAATTATTATAATTTAAGTTTCATTCCACAGTTGCGCCATCGTCAAGCCAGTTGATGTTTCTGATGGAGCCTCCGCCTCGACTGTCTTTCTCCAACAGCACCGGTGCAAGGGTCTCGTGCGCTGCACACGGCACACCAGCTCCGATTATATCCTGGATGAGCGAAGACGGATCTCCGGTCGGCGATGTACCTGGTCTTAGGTAAGTCTAGTAATAGCTCCGATTATATTTTTTTATTGCTTAGATGGGTGGACCAGCTCACAGCCCACCTGGTGTTAAGTGTTTACTGGAGCCCATATACATCTACAACGTAAATGCGCCACCCACCTTGAGATATAAGTTCTAAGGTCTCAGTATAGTTACAACGGCTGCCCCACCCTTCAAACCGAAACGCATTACTGCTTCACGGCAGAAATAGGCAGAGTGGTGGTATTTACCCGCGCGGACTCACAAGAGGTCCTACTACCAGTAAAACGGCGGTGACGGCTGTTTTCACGTAGCATAAAGTAGTTATGATGACGGAGATCGCGACCTCACAGGATGCGTGGCGGCATTCAAAGTCTGATGTAGGCATGCCGCGGTAGGCACTGAATATGACATGGAACGTGGGTTCGATTACCACTTTAATGCATTAATAAAAAAGTCGGTACTGTGTTCACTAAACATAATTGTTCAAGATTTCAAACTAATCTAAAGTTAATAGTTATATAATTAATGTTTACTTTGTTAATTCATTTTCATAAAAAAACAAATCGTTCTTTTCCTTTTATATAGTATAATAATATAATTAATCTGTTGCGTGTGAATGTAACTGAACTCCTCCTAAGCGGCTAGGGGTTTTTGTTTATTGCTTAGACGGGTGGGTGAGATCACGGGCCACCTGGTGCTAAGTGGTTACCGGGGTCCGTAGACAACTACAACGTAAATGCCGTCACCCACCTTGAGATATGAGTTCTAATGTCACAGTTTTTAAAGTACAACCGGCTGTCGCACCCTTCGAACCGCATTACTGCTTCGCAGCAGAAATAGGCCGGGTACCTACCCGTGCGGAGTCACAACACCCCCAACAACCACCCAACCAACAGCCCCACCACCGTTTTTGTGCGTGTTCTAGTGGATTTTAGAATGGTGCAAATTTTACAATTCAATTTTACAATGATTTTCTATAAAAGCGTATTTTGTTAGTTTATTTAAATTATTATTTATTAATAATAATAATAAAACCCAAAAAAGTAAGTCTCGTAACTTTGCAACACAGTTTCGGCATTTACATTCAAGTCTTTCGGCTGCAAATAACGATCGATAGGTAGGTACCGATCGAACTATGGCCGAAAATGCGACAAAAGAGCCGAAACGTAAAAGGGTACTGCGTCAAATCCGTGCGAATGACGTCATTGGTCATATCGGATTCACTGTGTGGGATAACAGAATAGCGAAGTTCCTCTGCCAGTCCTAATCCAGTAAGCCAGTTTGCTCGCAGCAACGACTGGACCGAAAACCTTGTACGTGGCTTAATCGAGTTTATTAAGACGAACCTCGTCTTGAATTCCTGTTTTGGGCAAAGATAGCGAAGTCACAAAACCGATTTTGTATTATTCACGAACCCTTTCCAGTCACATCTTTAGTATAGTTATCATAGGGGGAGGGTGATGGGAGAGATGTGCTCCGCACTAAACGCTTCACTCTCCTCCCCTTGCCTTTTCATGAGTTCTGTCTCATGCGAGGGTTGGACGTTGGTTGTTGAGCGACAGGAGGTTTTAGTCGGTTCGACTCCGACATGCCCCACCCTCCATCCCCAGTGGAGGGTGGGAGTCCGGCGATTTCCTCCTGACAAAAAAAAAAATANGGCAAGCGCAGTCCAACGAATGTTCATTTCAAGGCACGTTCCGCCTTTTTATACTAGCCGGCGCAGCTGGCTTATGAGTCACTTCTGTTGCAGCTGTTGTTTACGAGTGGAACGACACGGCCGGCGCGCCTGGCTTGTGTGAGTCACTCCTATTGCACGTGCTATATAACATAAATATCGTTAACGCCGTCATATACATGTGTGTGTATCAAATACATGATAGTGTGTGTAATGTTTTTTTATTGATTTCATGTATTTTTAATGCATAATTAAAAAAGAAGTATTAGCATTCTATAATCCTTCTCTATATTCTCTATTGGTGTGGGAAATTTCATACTCCTCCGTCCGCGCAATTTTCGTAAAAAAGGGTACAAAGTTTTTGCTTCACGTATTAATATATAGATACTCAACAGAGAACGGTTTCCAGTTCTGCTCTGGAAATATAGCGTATAGTTAACGCAGCGTTTATATCAATTGTGTGGATGTTTCCAGTAAGAACTTTAGTTCGGTTCTGACCGACAACTCGGTCGACTCACAAGATTAATGTCCGTCACACTTGGTTGGGTACCGTTTCCATTCGCGCTTTCACAGTCCAGGCCTGAATGAAACGGAATGAATCATGTCCCTTTATCGTGACGTAAGGCCGTGGAGTCGAATTAATTTTTTTCTCGGCTTCATGATAACGACCGTACAAAGTTTTGTCTTCATCTTCAAAGATCACGGCCGTAAAACCTTTGAGGTATATAAAAAAAAATATGAACGCGAGCCTTTTCTTTTCTTTATTTTTTTTGTAGACATTTTTAGTACTCTCGATCATAAAATGAGTTTTAATTTTGTTTTGAGACACTGCGAAAACAGGGCTGTACAAAGCGCTTTTATTAACTGTTGTGATTAGATGAAAGGAAGTGACGGATCGTAAGTTTACAAAAAACCGGCACTAATGTTTTTTTTTTTTATTGCTTAGATGGGTGGACGAGCTCACAGCCCACCTGGTGTTAAGTGGTTACTGGAACCCGTAGACATCCACAACGTAAATGCGCCACCCACCTTGAGATATAAGTTCTAAGGTCTCAGGTATAGTTACAACGGCTGCCTCACCCTTCAAACCGAAACGCATTACTGCTTCACGGCAGAAATAGGCAGGGTGGTGGTATCCACCCGCGCGGACTCACAAGAGGTCCTATCACCAGTAATAAATGTTAATGGAAAGATTCGATACACATATACGGTATCTACCATATGAATATTCACAGTCGATCGCTTCACGTCACGTGGGACGAGCGAGCCCCGGACACTAATTCATCTGCGCCCAATGACGCGGAAGGGTCAGACAAGATAAACGACATTCGAATTACCGAATTAGGATTGGTTTTGCAATAACACGTGTAGAGCAAGATTACACTGGAACGTGTGATACATAATTCTATTTTTACAAGAACGCTAGTAATGAATTGTGGTCATGTTTCGTCACGAAATTAGTAAAGTGTGTGGTAAAAAGCAATTTTTCTCCTACCTACGCCGAAAGTTCGGTTTTCCTCCCGCTGTAAAGGGAAGAAAGTCAAACTTTTCCTCCAGCTGTACAGGGAAGAAAGTGTAACTTTTCCTCCCTGGGTACAAGTGCGCATGCGCGTTAGTGTCTACGTCTGCTCTCACGCACCTAAAATTCCCTGCCATTGTTGTGCTCGGGTAATTTGCAATATTGTGTTTAGTGTAGAAGTGAAATAAATAACTATAAAATAAACTATTTCTATGATCACATGAGACACAGCTCACTGAGTTTCTCGCCGGATCCTCTCAGTGGGTCGCGTTTCTCATCCGGTGGTAGATTCTGCGAAGCACTGCTCTTGCTAGGGCTCGTGTTAGCAACCTGTTCGTCAGGTTTGAGCCCCGTGAGCTCACCTACTAGTTAAGGTTACACTGAAATAGCCTTTCAAGGCTATCAGCATAGTTTAAAAAAAAAAACTGAAAATAGGCCTTTTTTGGTTCTATCAACAAAATCATGTACCGAAGAATAGGCAGGGATCCGAATCCATTCTCCTTGCCTCTGTAGAGGAGCGAACGGTCTGTATTCCGGGTAATATTGTAATTTGTGCGCGTATTAGCTCCGTAACTACGTAGTGTAACGAACCGGGACGCAGACCTCGGGTCTCAGGCGTGATAAATGATTGATAAATTATGTATATGAAGGTGGATGCCGAAACTTTAAGGTTTGAGGCATAAGCGATTGACTGTTTGTTGTAAACAAGAATGAGGTACCTTAAAATATGGTATACAAAAGCCGGTTTTATTAGCTCAAACTTAGTAGGTAATGCCGATTATTATAATCGCGAAACGGATTACTCTCAGAGATGCATTCTCGTTTGAAGTATTGGACAGTCACGATATATGCTAAATTAATTTGAAAGTTTGACCTCATATTTCAACGTGGCATTCGTCTTGACATATCTATGAACTCTGGTAGTCAATTAACAGTAAATTCGACCGTGGTGACCAAGAAAACTGTATAGTATTCGGAACGCCGAAAATAATTTGACGATAGAAAAAATCGTATCGATTATTGAATCTATTAAATCGTAAAAATATTGTTACGCCGGTAAGAGTAACGACATCTATCGCCAAATAGTCGAACGAATATCGAAGGACCTAGTAGCACCTCGAACGCTCGAGAAGTACAACGCCATCTATTGTCAGATAGCAGAAACATAGTACTAGAGATGTGTGGAATATTCTCGATTATTCTAGGGATGTGGTATCGGCTATAAAAGCGTGGCAGAGATGGCACGCAGTCAGTCAGTAATCGGAACTACTCGAAGCGAAGCAGCGAACGGATCACCTGAAGCAAAGCGGAAGAAGCGAATTGAGAGTTTTAAAGTGTTTGTTGAGTGTTTTAAGTGTTGAATACAGTGTTAACTTGTAATTCGGTTGAATTTTATTTGTCCCGAACCCCAGCGCGTAACAACATTTTTAATTATGTCTGCGACTCGCGAAAAATTAAGAAAATACTAAAAACTCTATGCTTGAAGATCGCTTCATCTTCTCCATTATACCGGCCCGTTAAAAACCATGCAGTTCATATTCCCGTCATGGCGTTCAGTTTGTCTTCGTTAACGTAATAACCTCGTGACGCCTTTCTATTCGCCCTCCCTTGGATAGGCTTCCTTCGGGACGACTAGGCGACTGGCCGCACGATTGATGTCTTCCTTGTAAAGCTCACTGCTCTCTTGAATACTTTTTGTTTGAAGCTGGACACAGTATACCGTTAGTGATATACTTAAAATCGACTATTACGTTTTTTTTTATTGCACAAAATTTGTGGACAAACTCGTAGTCCAACGGGGTCCATAGACAATCAGGA